CACACACACACACACACACACACACACACACACACACACACACACACACACACACACACATGTATATACACATATTTACATACATTCAAAAAAGTCAAACAAAAGAAGTGATTTTTCGTACTACGCGTCGGCTACGCAATGTGTGCTTGGCATCAATATTGAAAGGGTGGGGGTAGTAGTAAATCCTTTATTTGCGCACGCATCAAGGGAATTTCAGTTTTGTTTTCGCATTCATAATTATTTTCAAATAAAATGCGCGCCAAGGCAACTGCCAATTGCAAATTGCAATTGCAATTGCAGCTGCAGTTGCAATGCGAACGCCTCAGCTGTGCTGTGCTGCGCTGCGACTGAGGCGAATGACCGTGCCTGACCCAAATAAAAGTCGCTGCACTCGCGCCAACAAAGGCGACAAATGCCTCGCACTCGCTCGCTCACTCACACAGACGCACTCACTCATTCGCTCCGTAGCTGCAAAAACAAAAATTGCAGCATGAAAAAAAAGCGCAGCGCGCACTCAAAATGAGGCCGAGTGCAATGAACAGCATTCAGCGCGCACACACACACACACACAAACACAAACAGACGAGAGAGCGTAAAATTGAGAGCGCGAGAGCAAGCGACCAAGAGAGCGAGAGCCAGCTGAGCCTATGCAAATGCAGTGCTGCTGTTGCTGTTGCTGCGCTGCGCTGCTGCTGCAGTCGAACAAGTTGCGACGCTGATGTTGCAATGCGAAACCTTCGAGAAATTTTACAAGAGTCGTTGAACTCGCGCCATGTGTCGGTCGTTTAACTGTGCCCCAAAACGGCAGCGACGCCGGCGTCACAGCCATTGCAGCAATGTTGGCTGTGGCTCGGCTCGGCTCCACTTGAAGCTTGAAACTAGTTTGACGTCGACGTCGAGGCATTGAAAAAGCGAAAGTACATTTTTCTGCTGCCCGTCGCTAGCCGTATGTGTGTGTGTGTGTGTGTGTGTCCATGTGTGTGTGTGTGTGTGTGATGGCGCTCGTCTTGTTCGTGTTTGTGGCTGCTGTTCGTGTTTGTTCGTTCGTTTGTGCGCGAGGTAAATGAACCTTTTGAAGGTTCAACTTGCGTAGTAGGCGACGCCAACGTCGCTGTCGCCGTCGACGCCAGCGCTGGCTGGTGTAAAACAAGTTTGTTACGTTTCGTTCGCGCTGTCGCTGCTTTTGACGGCTTTGTTTTGTGCTCTTTCCTTTGCAATTTCACCGTTAAGCCAAACAAGAAATACGAAATTTGTAAGGCAGGTGAAGCGCGCACTGCTTTATGTAACACTGGCAGAGTGAGTGAAGGAGAGAGGGAAAGAGAGATGGAGATAGCAAACTTGTCGCAGCTCAATTTTGTTTCTTTTGCTGTTGATGATGCGTGTCACGCGTAAAAAAATGATTTCACTGATGACAAGAAACAAAAAAGTAAAGTCAATTGTATAATAAGCCAAGTGCTCGATCTGTTATGCATTAACTTTTCAATAGCGTAACGTTTGGCTAACCTTCCAGTCAGCCAGCCAGAGCTCACACACACACCTTAGAAACCCCCACAGCTAATTCACGTTACAATGCATTCAGCATTAGCATTGCATTGAGCTCACGAGGCTCGCCCACATGTATTTATTTGTATTTGTATTTGTATTGGTTGCAGTCACCAAACGACATTATCAACGACCTCATTATCATCATGAGCTAGTTGTACTTGAAGCTTTGACCCACGCCCAGTGTTTTAACGCCTACATAGTCAGCTCAATGCTACGAAACAATTCATTGCAGCACCTCACCACAGCCAGCTCAATGATATGAAACTACAGAAACTTCAATTCAATCCATTTGCAATTCGCCCCCCTGGGGCAAGACATTTTTATTGTCATATTGTTCATTTCGTGTGGTAGCCTCCAATATTATTTTAGTCAACACCTCGTCTGTGTGTGAGTGTGTGTGTAGCACTGGCATTTTAATGTATTTGTAATTGACCTGAATAAAGTTCAAAACACTCGCCGCAGCAGCAACGATGACGGCAAGGCGAAATCTACATGCAAGCTGTGTCTGTGTGCATGTGTGTGTGTGTCCATGTGTGTAGCCTCAAAAAATAATGATTGCGACAACAACAAAAACGTCACTGCTTGTACATGCGCTCACACACACACACATACACACATGCATTCGCTCATATGTAACTATAAAACACAACAACAAAGATCTAAAATAAATAAAGTTGTGCCTTCGATAATTGACAATTGTCTGATTAGTTTATTTTTCTTATTTTTCTGTTCATGTGTGCGCAACTACAAAGCTAATTGACAGCCATTGAACACACACACATACACATGCCTTTGGTCATATGCATATGTGTGTACATATGCATATGCATATGCATGCATGTATGCATATTCCACTCTAACTCATTCTAGTTCAAGAGAGCATTCAGCATAATCATAACTGTATCGTAGCAGCGCTCGCTCTTATGCTGAATCTTGAGCCTTTCAATTCGATTAGCCTCGCGCTGATTTGAGTTCATTTTAATTAAACGCCACATGCCTCATGTGTGTGTACTTCACATGAAAACTAATAAAATAAAGTGTTAAAAAAAAAATAAATAAAATGCAAAAAGCTGCAAATACATGTCTATGCCTGTTCCGCGACAACTACAAATTTCAACAATTCACAAAAAAAAAATAAAGCAAATGCAAAATGAGTGAAAAAAGCATGTTTACTATCAATCGTACTTGCACACAACACGTACGCACACACACACTCAGGCACCTTCACTGTTGCTGTTGCTGCTGCTGCTGCTGCTCCGTCGCTGCTTTGGGTGACCCAGTTTCGTCGGTCAATGAACTGAGCGCTGCTGTCGAGGCTGAATGTTTTTGTGGGGGAGCGAGAGAGAGCGAGAGTAAGAGAGGGCGCTCGCGGGCTGAGGCTGTCGCCTGGTTCGTGTTTGTTTGTTGCTTTTTTTCTGTGGGTATTTTTTTGAGGGGCGCTCTATCCACGGGAGAGTGTCTGTCTGTGGCTGTGTTTGGGTATGTGTGTGTGCGTGCGTGTGTGTGTGTGTGCGCTAAATTTCGGTTTCGTTTTCATTTTGACGGCGCGTCTTGCGTTTATTTTCGTATCTTTGCAATAGGCAAACGTAAACAAAATGGCGCCTAATAATATTACTACACACGAAAAAGAAATTATGAAAGCCGCAAAAGAAAGTGTTTCGAAATGGTCAAACGACCAAGTGAAAGTCTTGCATATTATGCACTCGCCGGCATAATGGAGATTCCAGAAATATACATAATCAACATAATATGATCAATTTCTAGGTCAGTTCGTGTTTTAACAAAAGTAACTGTAAATATTTCGACAACGGCCCCCATGTGTGTGTGTGTGTGTGTGTCAGTGTACAAATTTAATTTTCCTTGAAAGATAAGGCAAGCGAGGGCAGCGCTGTCGACGGCAACGCCAACGCCAGCGGCGACTGCGCGTAAATAGCACACGGTCATTTTTATTATAAACAATTCGAATTTTTGTTTTTGTTCGTTTGCTGTTGCCGAGTTTGAGTTCGCTGCTGTTTATTTTGATGGCGGTCGTATTTTAGTTTTAGTAGTTTTTTTCGTTTTTTTATTGCGATTTTTGGCATTAGTGCTGTGTAGAACTAGTTCAAGGATTTGCCAATTTCTAAATAGTAATTTAGTGAATGCCTTGGCGAGACAGTGATTAATTTGTTAATATGCATATTTTATAGCTAATTTACTCGTTTATCTAACGTTATGTAACTTTCGTTTATTTCATTTACCCAGCACGCGTCCCATCACAAAAAAAAGAGAGAAGAAACGAAAAGAAAACAAACTGTAATCCATCAATTACAGCATACACATGTTCAAGTAGCATTACAACAACAACAACAGCAGCTACTACAACATTATTATTAAGCACAGGCTGCGACTGCGTGCTGCCTACAAAACAGCCACAGCGACGACTTAACAGCTCTCTCGCTATCTCTTTCTCTGTCTATCCAACAGGCGCGCATGCAGCAGCATGAACCACTTTCGTTTTCGACAGCAACATGGCCGCCATGATAGAAAGAAGAGGAAGAAGAGCCCAAAAGTCAATGAACGTTGCGCGCTCGAGTAAGTTGTTGTTTTTGCTTCGCTCGTTTTGTATATTATTTTGTTTTCTGTTGTTTTTTTATTTATTTTTTTTATTTTTATATGCTTTCATAATCGATACGAACGTCGCAGCATTTCCTGTACAACTTTTCCGGGCTTGCTCTTAATTTAAACAAATTATTACAAAATTTAATAAAAAGCAAATGCTTGCAAGCGTAACAACATGAGGAATTGTGAAAGAGTGCAAGAGAAAGATTCAAATTGCCTGATGGAGAGAATGAGTGAGGTAGCGAGCGGGCGAGAGAAAGAGGGAGAGAGAGAGACATGCGTAGGCATGGCCTCGCTTGCCTTTATGAATTTAGGTTAAGTGCGTTCATTCAACTTTTAACATAATTTCGAAATGGCGCACAGTTGCTGTTGCCGCTGCTCCCATTTATCATGCGGGTGTTGGAAATTTGTTTAAACAAAATTTACATAAATGTAGTTTGCCTTTGTAAGCGAGTGTGTGTGTGTGTGTGAGTGTTTTGTTGCTTTTTTCAGGGCAGGCAGCTAACAACTTTTACTTTGCCGTGAAATCGCGCGCGCTATACAAATGTTGCAATACACATACATACATGCATACACACACACACACACCCAGCCAACCAACCAGCTGAAATTTCGTTCATGGCTGGTCAATGAACTCAATGATAGTCGTCGGCTGTCGTTCGTTAAGTTTCGTTGTGTGTTCGGTTTTTAGCCTCTAATGATTGTTGTTGCTGCTGCTATATTTTGTTTTTGTTTCTCTATTTTTATTGTATTTGAGCTTGACTCTCTGCAGTGAGTATTGAGTACGTGTTCGTGTGTGTGTCTGTGTGTGTGTAAGTGATTTAGGACTAGAGGAGTGTAAAAGCTTGTGTACTCACCATCACGGCTCATGCCAACGGCAATGCATTTTTTCAGGCGACAATATTGACAGCGATTGCGATTGATACGCAAAATGCTGCACTGCTGATTCTTGGTGCATGGGCGATATTGGATCTTTTGCTGTATCGAGCGACGGAAGAAGCCCTGGAATTAAATAAATTGAAAACAAAAAATCATTAATGATGAAAGAAGATTTATAAAATGAAATTAATTAAAAATTTATAATTTTATGATATGAAATTTTAAACAAGAAAAAATCTATAAAAATTTAAATTTCAAGTGACTTTCAAAAAAGAGTTATATAAATTTTAAATGGTATATGGTATAGATTTGTATATTAATTATAGCTATATATATTATATATACATATAATCAAATTGGTCATACTAGCTGCTCATATAAATCAAAATGGAAATCAGGTCAATGAAAGTTAATATATTATTCTAAATTCCATATCATCCCCTATTAAAACTAATGTCTATATCTAATTAGACTCATTTGCCACCTACATCAGCATTGGCATCCTCAATTGCTGTCGTCGCTTTGGCGGCAGCTATATTGCTGTTGCTGTTGTTGTTGTTGCTGCTGCTGTTACTTAAAGCTGTGTCCAGCTTTTCGTCAAACTTTTGACACAGATAGTTGAGCTGCGACGCCTCCAGGCGCTGATGATGCTGTTCGCACAGCTCATCATCACAGCCCGAGTCCTGGGCATCCATATCCTCGATCAGCTGCTTGTGTTGCTGCTGCAGCTCCTCGTCGCTGCTGCTGTTGCATGTGCAACAATTGCCAATGCCATTTGTCAGTGACTGCGTGCTCGAGTTGCTCAGCAGCGAGCAATTGCTGTCGGAGCTGTCGCGTCGCTGTTGCTGCTGCATCAACTGCTGTTGTTGCTGTTGCTGCTGTTGGTGTTGCTGCTGCTGTTGTTGTTGCTGCTGCTGCTGCTGATGAGTTTGTTGCATCAACAAATTGGCAATTTCTTTGTGTGTTTGCGCGGAGAAAGGACTATCACAATGCAGTTGATTGAGCTTGTTGCTGGTGGGTTTTGTTGCTGATGCTGCTGCTGCTGTTGCTGATGTTGCTGTTGCAGCTGCTGCTGTTGTTGCCGCAGCTAGTGTGGTTTGCTCCAATTCACGCTGCTTCAGTTCACGCGCATAGCGTATTTTCTTCCACGGGCATTGATATTGCTCATAGTCGACGGCAGCAACTGTTGCCGTTGGGCTATTGGCAACATTGGCCTTGGGCGGCAGTTCATCGTCGCTGTTTGCACAGTCCTCATCGATGCCCGATTCGCTGTCATTTTTGGCGCTAAGATCGGCGCATGGCTTTGGTGTTGCTGCTGTTACAGTTGCTGTTGCTTTTACTGTTGCTGTTGCAGCTGGCTGTTGCAGCAGCAATACAATTTGCTGCTGCTGCTGACTAATACTATTTGTTGTGGTTGCTGTTGCTGTTGTCTGGTTGGTGGTTGTCTTTACTAGTGTTGCAGGTGTTTGTTGTTGCTGTTGTTGTTGTTGTTGTATTTGCTCTTCGTTTTTCAGTCTTTTGCGTTGCTGTTGCAGTTGTTGTTGCTGTTGTTGCAGGTAAACAATTTGTCTGGGCTGCGGCTGCTGCTGCTGCTGTTGTTGTTGTTGTTGTATTTGCTCTTCGTTTTTCAGTCTTTTGCGTTGCTGTTGCAGTTGTTGTTGCTGTTGTTGCAGGTAAACAATTTGTCTGGGCTGCGGCTGCTGCTGCTGCTGTTGTTGTTGTTGTTGTTGCTTGCTCAGCGGCCCTGATTCAAGCAGCTTGACCAGCGCCGAGTGCTGCTGCTTCAGCTGGCTTTTGATTTGTTGCTGCTGTTGCTGCTGCTGCGGTTGATGTTGCTGCGGTGCACTGACAATGTGCACATTGCTGTTGCCGGCTGTCAGCAACACAATTGTTGTGCCGTGTTGCTGCTGCTGTTGTGGCAACTGTTGCAGCTGCTGCTGCAGTTGCTGCTGCTGATGCTGTTGCTGCTGCTGCTGTTGTTCCATTGCACAAACCATTTTTTATTAAAATTTAAACTTTTTGGTACCACAATGACACTTGAACTTCTCTCTCTCTCTCTCTAGCTCTTTAGCTCTCTCCTTCGATCTAGACTGCTGTTGATTTTGCTCTACAATTTGCTAATAAGGAACATTGCGTTTGCTTTCGCGTTTTGCTTTGATTTCAATTTGAAACTCAATTTTCATTCACTACACCAACGATTTGAGCGCCAAAAACTTTTGATAGCGCTTTTCGGAAGTCTTGATGATCTCTCTCTCTCTCTTTCTCTTTCTCTCGCTCTCTCTGGCTTGATCTCTTTGTATTCGGTTTCACAGCACTGGCACCAATAAAAATAATAATGATACTATATGATTGGATATATGATTATTAAAACTATTTGTAACGTTGTTCTAGTTGCTCTTATTTTGCCGTTTTATTTAGTTTTCAGTTTATCTTCATCTTTCTATTTAGTTTATTCTCTTTCGCGCGCTTTTCATGCTCTGCACAACCGCTGCTAACGACGAGCAATTTGCGAATGAAAGCAGCGCCAGCAGCGCCAACAACTCATGCCTGTTCGCTGTGCTTCGGCTCCAACTTCGGCAAGCGACGAATCGTTAGTGCATGCTCTCGGCTCGTTTGCTCTCTCGCTTACTAGCTGCGCTGCCGCTGCTACTGCTGCTGCTGCTGCTGCTGCCAACCTCGCGCCACATATTGTTTTTGTTTTTGTGCACTAACTGAGGACATTCACTCCAACGTCGACGTCGACGCGAGCTGCTAACAATAGACGCCACTGGCGCTGGCGCTGCTGCTGTTGTTGCTGCTGCTGCTGCTGCTGCTGCTGTTGCTGCTGTTGGTGGGGGCGCTTTTTGTTGCTTGTTTTTTGTATTGTAAACAATTCTTGGAACACCTACGCGACGCAGATTTTGTAGGTAGCTTCTGCTACTGCCACCTGACTGATCAGCTTTGTTTGATAACAGCAGCAACAACAATGCCAACACACAAACACACACATGCACACATCCATATGAGCTTAGAACATTTGTTGTTGTGCGCGTCTGTGTGTGCTTATTTTGAAACATGAGTGACAAATAAGATTAATTGATATTGAGTGGGCGGGGCATATTGATATGGGGGCGGAAACAGCGCTATCAACCAATATGACAGGCATAAGAGGATCGCAGATCTGGAACGGCTCTCAAACTATTTTCGGGTAGGTAGATTTAAAAAAAAAAAATAGTTCTAGGGAAGTTTCCAGAAACTGTGAAGTGTGTGTGTGTGTCAGTGTAGGGGGGATTATAATTGCCCAACTCGTAGCTATTAATCATATGGCTTTAGTGACATACACACTGAAAAGTGTTGCCCCAATTATGGGCAAGAGAGAATACTTGATTACTTAACACTCCAGCGCTGTCCCGAAATGCACTCTATTCATTTCATGAACTACTAAATTAAACGCCTCGTTATTAATAATATTAAATAATATTTTGGCGGCGCGCTCTTTCTTTCTTTCTTTCTTATGTGTTTTTTTGTTATTTATTTCATTTCTTTTTTTGAGGCCACAGAAAACGTAAGAGACGACACACACACAATAGCAACGACACATGCTGGAAGGCTACGTAACCAAAAAGCCCCGAACGCCGCGACGTCGACGACGACGTCAACATAATACGACGACGTCAGCAGAGGTTGGCTGACTGGCAGTTCAGTTCAACGAACCCCGCCATTGTCGTGACCCACTTTTCGGTCAAATACCTCCAAATGTGGAGCTGCTCAGCGCTGAACGAATGAGCGAACGACCGAATAGCCGAATGGCCACACGAGCTATCGAGCAACCGACCGAGTGAGCGAGCGACCGACCGAGCGAGCAGACGAACAAATTGACTCTTCGTTCGTGCATTGCTGCTCTCAATTGCTCAGCGCTCGCTCGCTCAGTGCATTCGCATGCAAATTTGTTGTTGTCGATGGTCGTCGCTGCTGCAGCTACTGCTGCTGCACTCTGCAAGCCATTGCTTTAACTTTTTGGTTTAGAGTTCATTTGAGCTGGCGGTCGGTCAACGACACAGAAACCTCAGGCGGACGACGGCATGTTTGTGGGCTTGGCCTCAAAGGGGCGGGCCAGCAGGGGCTGGGGCAACAGCCATTGCAATACGGCGACTCTATGGCTAAAATGCGTTCAAGGAAATCTTTGGCAATGCAGCATATTCGAGCGGTTTGGGATAGGCCCGGAAAATTGCATCAGCTAGCATTTGGCGATACATGCTCAAGCTGCAGTCCGTAGTCGCAGCATTATATAATTAACAACAATAAATTCAAAGCAATTAAGCAAAAAGAAAAGCCAAAACATAGCTCAAGCCACGCTCGAGCTGTGAGCGCGAGTTCATTGCACTCAGCAGCGACAATTTGCACTCATTTCAATGCCTCACGGCCCCCGCAAATGAACTGCGGGCAGAGCAGAGTCGGGCTTACGTTTTGCACGCAGCGAAGAACCGAAGAACTTTCGGGAACAGCTGTGCCCGTTTCAGCCGCTCTCTCGTTCCCGCTCTCACTGTTTATGTGTGTGAGTTTGTGTGTTGGTCTATCACCTGAACGACGAGCTTGCAATGCGGCGCTCTCTCGCTTTTGCTCTCTTGGTCTGGCTGCCAAATGTGAATGAACTCTGCTGGCAGCTGCAATGCGAATAACAAGTTTCAAAGGAAAGTGAGAGCATTTCACGTTACACACACATTCGTCTAGCTGCCACTGTATGTGTGTGTGTGTATGTTAGTGTATGTTAGGCAATGAGCGCTTAAGCAGTGAAGCGTTTTCCCCCTTTAGCATGATGATGATTCGACATCGTCATTGTCCGAACCATAGGCAATATGGCAAGCATTATAATTCACTATTTGTTTAATTGTTTTATTTGTCTGTTTTTTTGCCTTACGATCAATCGCAGCTCTTTTTAAATATACATCGAAAAGTCATGAATGAATAGTTCCCTATATCTATAGACTACCTGTTGCCGTTGCTGGCTGTGAACGATTGATCAGTGGGCCACAACTGACCACTTGACCCGCATCCAACATGGGCTGCTACTTGAAACTCACTTTACGGGCTACTGTAAGATCGGATCTTGACATCAATAGAAGAAACACAGAGAATTTAGTTAA